AAAGAATAAGAAAGACTTTAGTGGGTAAGAAAATCTTAATTGCTTGCTCGCAACTTTTCTCAAAACATTTTCACACTACACTTTCAAAAAAATATTTTCAAAAAAAACTTTTGTATACATTCTTGAGGACTGATACAAGAATTATTACAAAGTTAGCCTTACATTGGCAACTTTTTAAAAGTGAGATAAGTAATTAAGAGTATATAGACAACTATGGGTGAAAAGGGTTCTAACACCTTCCCTTTTCATATCTTACCCCCCCAAAATCAAAATCTATCAAAGGTCTTTCCTGTTCTTTTCACCTTTCCTAAGTATTGGATAAAAGAAAAAGTCAGTGGTGACTCTAGCTATCCGCACATTTGGATAAAACCAAAAAGTTAGTTCCCACCGTATTACACTTGGCTTTATACTTTATCATAGTTAGCCAACCAGTTTTTTAAACTAATTGTGATCATCAATCCTTACACCATAAATCTTCAAGACAAATTCCTTTAGTGAAGAAGGAAACACCTAAGATGATGTTCCAACATTAGTTCAGACATTTATCTTAATCACATGGATTTCACCATTTACTATGGTTCTAGAGAAAACATCCATAGTAACCCATACACATCTCTTGAAGGGGACACAAGAGAACCATAAATACATGCAGTAACCTGCCTAGTACACATCTCAAAAAGCTTCTTCTTATAAGCATAATAACCAGACCTCTTGTTTGACTTTAAGGTGTTAGACACCATCCTTCTGCACCTAAAGAGAAGATTCCCTCTAACAGGTATCTGGGTCAGAATACAACAAACGGGGTATTGAATGAGCATCATACCACCAGTAGACTATTCAATATAAGTCTGCTTCTTCCAATCCTCCAAGACTAAAAGATACACTAATTTCCTTTAGGGACAGTACTTGAGTCCTTGCATAAAATTTTTTTCCATCATGTGAGGACACCACATAATTGGACCCTAAGCTTGAGGAGGACCTCCCTTTAGTATAAACACCTCCCTCCAATAAGGTTTGATCTATAACCTCCTCCTTATTCAAGAAGAACAAAACTTGGATGTCTCTTCCATTATGAAAGAACAAGAGTCTGATGTTCTTATAGACTTGATAACAATTAAGTTTGAGTAAACAACCTCCATCCTATTTATGAAAAAACACAGCCATACATCTTGACTAATTGTTTCTTCAAGTCCTTTCTCCAACACAAAACTGACTTCGTTTGATCAGAGGAATCTTTCAGATGTCAGAGAGAATGTCCTCGAAATTTGAACTTGACCTCCATAAAGACTATGGTTGAGATATCTTTAACAATTCTCCACTAGAAAATAGAGCTCAGCCTCTGCACTCTTACTTTCTTGGATCAGAAATAAACTAATCCAAGGAGTAAAAAAATTTTGATCATCTCTTAACCATCACATATATCTAAGACATGTTTCTTAGATAGAAACTTCTTAGACTCACAACCCAGAAGCCTCTTCAAATTCTGGAGAAAATTCCCAACATATGTGATTAACTCACACCCATAGCATACACTATGCCATTCCTTTATCAAACCGGATTCTACACACGTTACCGATGTGATATTCCAACATCTAGTAGAATATCTTTCCAAGGAACACACTAAGAGATACTTTATATAAAAAAAAATGGAGAGTGGCCTTTTAGAGTTGGAAGCAAAAATAAATTTCTTTTAACTCTCTTTAGATCTCCTTTCAATAAACTCATTTCTAAGTGCCTTTATGAGTGGACTTGAGATGAACCTCAAGTATCTTTGGCAACTTTAGCAAGCTGGTTGAAGCTATCCTCCAAGTATCACAACATCATGGGATACACCTTTAAAGAAGCATAGATTATTACAACCTCAACACCAGAGACATGAGGAAATACCATAAGTTTTATATCATATACATATGCAGTGAAACATAAATGAAAAACTCCTCAACAATCTTCAGGCACAACTTGATCATCCTAGCTCACAAGAAACATAATCCAAGTGACAACAAAACAACATATGTTTGAAAATAAAGCAAACACACCAATCAACAACATAATAGCTCACAACAAAAGTAACGTGCCTGACAACTTCAAGCAGGGTCATATCTCAAGCTGTCACACCAATCAATACTCCCACTAAAGGGATCATCCAAAAAAAATATGAAATGACCACATTCACACAACTTTTCAGTAAAACCACCTTCCTTGTCCACATTACTTGAAAGTATCTTTCCAGTATCTCACTCATAAATAGAACAGGATGTCTGCTCTGATACCAATTGAAATAATGTTATGCAGATCTCAGATGTTCTAAGAGATGTCTTGACATATGATCTCTGAATTAAACACAATGGTAAGGTAAATATACGCAAACAATATTGAAAAGTAAAACAACACACATAATGGTTAACACAGTTCGGTGTACAACAACACCGACGTCTGGAGGCTACCAAGCCAGAAAGGAAATCCATTATTAGTAGTATCAATTCAAAGCTAAACTCCCATATTTACAACTTATCACTTAATCCCTACCGAGTGCAACTTCTACCTAGGAACTCCTAGATATGAGTATACCCACTCACTCTTTATCACTGCAGTGATACCAACTTAATAACACAACCATAACAACTTTAGAAGACACTATTCAAAGACACACAACTTAGCCAAGACTCTTGACCAAGAACAATACTTAGAGTTGCTTACAAGCTTCCTCCAAGAATAATAACCATTATATGCTTGAAAGCTTAAGAATGAATAATAGATAATTACAACTATATAACAACAATCCTACTTTTCTATCAACATGATATTAGAGAGGCTCATAAATAACAAAGACAAACTCTCTAAGAGAGTGGCACACAGACAAATCCCTAATTCTTCTACATTCTGGACTCGTACAATTTTATGTTACAAACACTTCTATTTATAACCCTTTTCCCAATTATATTTGGGCTTCAAATCACAGCATATCAGCTGCTACAAATCTGCAGAAACTTCTACGAAAAAGTAGGTCTTCAATCATAACCTTCCTAATTTGTCTCCATAATTACTAAGTCAATGTTCTTCTTTAATTCAACTTGAATCTTCCAGACCATAAAATCAGTGCCACATAAGATTGCATAATATTTCCAGAATATTTTACGTCTGTTAAATCTTCAACCGATCCAATAGCCCAGCCTAACACAGTCACGATGTCGAATGACTCTTCATAGGACATCTTGTTCGACATGTTTGCTTCAGCTGGTAAAACATATAAACTTAAAATGTTTCTTCATAACATAGGACTTCTTGTTCAACCTGTTTTTCTCAGAAAGTTAACTCATCCTATTTAACATATTGCTGCCATATTTGTTGTACTAAAATTAATGCCAATCAAAAAACCAGAGAACTAACAACACCAACCATTTCATGATTACTATAATCCATTTGTTGTCTAAATGCCACCGTAGAATTCGCTGTGATGGTTGGTAATTTAGCATCGAATCCTGGGGGTGGGACATTTTGACACATGTTATTGATACTTGATCCTGATCCCTGTAGTGGTGGAAAAGTAGATATTCGTGGATCAGGGAAGGTTGATATGCTATTGTTTAAACTTGCCATTATTTATGTTGACATGCCGTAAATTTGTTCATGTCCATCCATTAGCATTGTAAATCTAGACGCAAAATGCCTGAAGTTATTCATCCATGGTGATCTTGGGGTCATTGGCGGGCCATGTGTTTGCACTAGGGATAGAATTGGTCCATTATAAGTGTTCGCCGGTATTCGCGTCGTACTTTCTTGAATATGTATCGATTCAGTTACAAAAACTACAAATGTATTTTCCCTGGTCGAAGGGGGTTGTTATTCTCCATTGTTTCCTGGTGGATTCACCATTCTTCTAACATGTTTTCTTTTTGGTAATACTTCATTAGTTCTGGCTATTCTACCACTTCTTAATGTCATGCAACACTGTTAAATAAAAGTTTTTGTATGAAAATAGTGACAAATTTCTAACAAAATAGACAATGGGTCTCACTGAGCGTGCCAATTTGTTTATCATGAAATTTGGTAAACAACCGCTAGTCTTCCAAATCCTAGAGATTATGGTTTCTTATAGGATCAACTAGATTGAACCCAGAACAATAGTGTATATTTTGTTTTCTAAGTTTTCTGGGTGTGAATCTCTTTGATAGAGATAGGTACTTTGAAAGTAGTAATAAAACGATTTAAAGTAAAAATTGGAATGTAAAGCAATTTCGATTTTAAACTTAGAAGTAAAGTAAAGGACTTCAATTGACAAGTAATAATATTGAATATAAAATTTGTGCTTCATACGTACATTCTCAGTAACCCGTTTCTCGAACACTTAATACTTTGAGTTATTTTGAGTAATTTGTACAAAGAAGTGAACACACAGAATTCTAACATAAAAACTCCTATATATAATAATTTGAAACTAACTGTAACAAATGGTCTTCTTCTTAGAGGATGAAACGTATTTGTTTGCATGTCTCTAGCCTTTTGCAAACTTCCATGTATCTCTTTTTCAAAGATCAAATAAGTGCTAAAATTAGTTATAGCCTCATTTTAATATCTGTCGAACCCACTTCGAGTATCTTCATAGAAATATCTAAGTTATTTGCCTTGCATTGCTTCGTCCGTATAGAATCGGTCGAAAATTTGTCTTCTACCACTTCATATCGAAATTAGCTTTTATCACGCAAACACCGGTCTTTCGAATTCTACTCGAACTTCTAATCGTTGGAGCTTCAAAATTACAGCTAACAATAGGTTATTCTGGTTTTAAACTTATGTCAGAGTTTCTTTTTTTGAGATTTTTACATAGACATTTGGATTTGAGGATAATATGCATCATTGTTTTCAAGGTCCTCAGAATTATCCTCTTGGCCTTCTGTCTCAGCAAGGTTTGCCCAGGAATTGTGCAAGAAAACATCATTGTTCATTTCAGTTTCCATAAAATTATCATCCAATATCGGGGCTTGAGTAGCATCCAAAAATTCCTACTCATCTGAGCTAATATCATTTTCAGTAGGAACAAGAGAAGAATCTTTGAAAGGAAGACCATCATTAGCATTCCCATCAAAATTGGCCACAACAGGCTCCTCCAAAATTATCGGATTCACAACTGGAAGGTTCACAATAGTACTAGACTCTTCAGGATGTATTGTTTTCCTTCGGTTTTGAGATAAATCCCTTGCTTCGACAACAACTTCCTCATTTTTCTCTCCCACTTGCTTGAATATTTTCTCGTTGTTTTTGATCAGTTGTTTCCCATTGCTCAGGCCTGAGATGCCACATTTTCTTCTGCAGGTTTCAAACGAATGTCCCACATAATTGAAAAAGATACAATAATCTTGTAGTCTTTCATATCCTAAATCAACAAAAAAAAAAGCATAGCCAACTCTTTCCACTAAACTTTTATAACTTAGATCTTTTGACATGTCAAGATCAATGAGCACTCGAACAAAATGTCCGAAGGGCCTGTCAAACGATGTTTTGTTTGTTGTTGAATCAATACTGATAGGAGTTCCAATACTATTAGAAATATCAAAAATAATATTTGGGCGCTAATACTCCCGAGAAAGCCCATGTATTCTTATCCAAACTTGAGCAAAAGTATGTTGAACTGATGATGGGACAAAACCCTTGTACCATGGAAAAACTTCAAAACCCATGGGCTAACAGGTTATGAATAATAATATTAATAAAAAATATTCTATCTTTAGGATTTTATATTATATTATTTTGTAAAATAGTTTCAAATGATTATTTTAAATTTTTAATAATATTTGATTAAAATTAAATAATCAAAGAACTGTAATAGTTTTAATTAATAATTGATAATCAATTGAAATAAAGAAATACTTTATGAGTATTAAAGTGAAACATGTTTAGTGAATATAATTTTTCTTTAATGAGTCATTTTAAATATCAATGTGTAATTGTAAATAAATTAATTGAAATAAAGAAAAATTTATGAGTGCATAATTAAAACTAAATTAAATTAAATATGAATTTATGCTAATTTTGATTAATAATTAATTAAAATTTTTGTGATGAATAACCGTGCCATATTTGACTGTTATTACATTGATAAAAAAACATAAAACACATCATCAAATCGTAAAAGATAGAAAAATCATTAATGACAATTTTGTCTCTTTAGTGATGGATATATTACCACCCAAGATTAATTGTGCCCAAACTCTCCGTCTTTCGCTTTCCTATTCACTTTCCAGTTGGAGTGTGGTAAGAATCTCTACCAATTACTTCATCTTTGTTGTTTGAATCACCAACCTTAATAACCTCCTAAATTACATTTTAAAAGTAAAGTTATAAATATTTATTGTTACATAAAATAAAATTTAGCAAATGAAAATGAAAATTTATTACAAAGAAAAATATTATAGGAACGGCTTCTCATCAGCTAGTTTACTCGCTTGTTCAATAGTTTAGCTTCCTCTTCATCATTATTCATTTGTGATAAAGCATAAAAAAATTAATTATAAATAACAATTGATAAAGTAAATTACATTATTTTTTATTCATACTTTAATTTCATGAAAAGATATGAATTGGTTAATAATGTCATTATCTATGATCAATTTTTTCACGGTATAGTTACGCCAATTATGAAATAAGTTGTCATCGCTAACTTCAACTTTAAACCGTATTCATTTGTCAAAGAAAGTATCCATGGATAGTCATTCATATTGCTTCCTTAAAAGCACATGATGATATTAAAGAGTGTCTTATATGTTTCATTTGTAGTTTAATTCATATAAAAGAAGATATAGAAGTAATGAAATAAAGAGAAAAATCACCTAAATATATATATATATATATATATATATATATATATATATATATATATATATATATATATATATATATATATATATATATATATATATATATATATATATATATATATATATATATATATATATATATATATATAAACATAAAATATTGATTTTAAAATATATATATACAAAATGTTGAATAAGAATTTCAGATGAATTTACTTTGAAAAGATTTGTAGATGTCATTAAATTGAGTTTGTATTTATAATCTATATTCAAAGTTTTGTTGTCTGTCCTCTCTGACTCGATGATTATTCTGAACAAATACATGCATAGAATACCCTAGTTTCTATCAGATATTTATAGTGACTTACTAAATGAATAATCTCTATGATCCATTACATTGTTCTTTTAACATGTATGATACTCTTAGAAGTAATGATCAATATCTAATAGCAACTTGTCTTGATTCATTCCATGTATCAGATTCAATGCCAAGTGACCTCCTTGAAAGAAGCCGCAATGGACGCATTTTATTTGCGGGTGATTCTGTGGGCAGAAACCAATGGGAGTCTTTACTATGCATGCTAACAAGAGGGGTCTCTAACATGTCAAAAATATATGAAGTGAATGGAAGTCCCATAAGCAAACACAAAGGCTACTTAATCATGAAATTTGAAGAATACAACATGACAGTTGAGTATTACAGAGCACCCTTCTTGTCCATTTTAGGTCGTCCACCACCCAATTCAGCTAAAGACATCAAAATGACTATCAGACTTGATGAGTTGCATTGGTATTCCAACAAGTGCAAAGAAGCAGATGTTCTTGTTTTCAATTCTGGTCACTGGTGGAACCCAGACAAAACTATCAAGGCGTGAGTATAAATTAAATCTCAAGTTTTTAAATACAAGTAACACATATAAACAATCTCTATATTTTTGCAGAGGCATCTACTTCCAGGAAGGAGGGAAGGTAAATATGACTATGACAGTGAAAGAAGCTTTTAGGGGATCCATACAGACATGGAAAATATGGGCATTGGGTAATCTAAAACCTATGAAGAGTTTCGTCTTCTTCCGAAGCTATTCGCCGGTTCATTACAGGCAAGTATATTAACACATTAATGTGGTATTGACACTGTCACATACTCTGATGGAAAAACATCTAAAAGGAACCAGACCAAATGTTATTAAGATCAAACTCAAACTTGAGCTTAGGTTATATTTAGATAAACAAACTAATAAAATATGTATAACATACATTTATCATATGAGAGTATATATAACAAAAATATAAATAAAAGTGTTTTTATAAGCTCATCCAAATAGACGGACAAGTACTTAAGCCAACAGATACGTTCAAATTGGCCAATCCAAACAAGCCTTAAAACTAAAAGTATAATAACTCACTTCATAATTTTTTTTTGGATCAAATCTATTCATCCTATTTAAGTTATCCCTTCGGAGTACATTGGGTAAGAGTCTGTACAGTGAAATTGCAGGAATGGCACATGGAATGAAGGAGGAAGCTGCGACCAGGACTCGGAACCAGAAAACGACTCAACAAAACTCGAAACTGAACCGTATTACAACTTATTTATATCTGATGCTGTTAAAGAGATGCAATATGGAAGCTGGAAAGTCAACTTTTTGAACATCACATATCTTTCAGAAGTGAGGAACGATGGCCACCCTTCCAAATATCGGGAACCAGGCACTCCACCTGATTGTAGCCACTGGTGTTTACCCGGAGTGCCTGACACGTGGAACGAACTTATCTATGCTCAACTCCTCTCTAAGAAATTTGGAATCAAATTTATTTTTCCAGAAAGCAAAGAACGAAGCTGATCCAATTTTCATCAGATCAGGAAGAATGTAAAGATATGTTAGCTATACATAAATCTGCATTGCTCCGAGTCATTTAACTTCATCCACTTTCTCATCTGAATCCTCGTCATTGATTGTCATTTGCTTCATCTTATCAAGTTGCCTCAAGAGTTCCAACCTCTCTGGTGCGTAAGTGGATGGAATCTGCAAGGAAGAAGGTGGATATTCTTACAACGTTAGATTTAAAATTTGAATACGAGATGGAAAAAGAAGTAGCAGCCAGTCATAATGTGTATACCAGAGCTGGTACATATCTCTGAATAGCAGCCAACATGGCTGCATGCCCAACGGCAGTAACCTGTGTAAAGTAAGCATTGTCCTAATTAGTACGCAACATCTAACATTGGAAAATGGTAATGGTAATATGAAATAGCAAACAAGTTCATTTCCTTCAATCTTTTTCTCTTTTACATTTTCTATAAGCATAAAGTTCTTTTTCTTCCACTTTGATAATTTTTATAAGGAGCAGAAAATTTTAAGGTAAAAATGAATTCGACAAATTTACAAGGGGAAGAAAATAAAGGAAGCAAAACTTTCTTAAGTAGGATAAATAATTTATTTAATTTACTATTCATTCAAAATATTAGGAGAGTTTTACTTTCTTACATATGTTATTGTTGAGTATGACTCATATAATAGCAAGACGAGATTTAGAAACCTAACATAATTTGATTAGGATCTTTTTATTATGAATGAACAGTATGCTTTTCTATCAAGAACAAAACATGTTATTCAGATATAGTTGATAAGAACAATCATAAAGGTGTTCAACTCACTGGAATTAGCATTAAAACACCGATAGGAACAACTGAGGCCATGTCCGTTAAGGTTCTTTTAAGTGCTTTCTTCTCCTTCTCAGTCAATTCATCACCTATTAAGGTCCTTCTGACGAAACCCGTGGCAGCACCAACATCAATAGCAAGAAGTTGAGTTCCTTGCCAGACATCCTGTTTATTAAACAGCAGACTTTAGATCTCAATCATTGGATACAAGAAATAATCTATACTTAACTTTAAATTTCCATTACTATGATATTATTATGAGCAGTGGACATTGTCAAAAGTATCAGAGATGCTGCTACACGCACATATGTTACCATTTTTCTTTTCAGTTTCCTAAAACACGGGATGAAGAATGTTAAGAATCCCAAACTGGACGAGATATGCCTTGACAGTGTGTTTACAACTTTTTATAAGGGTGGGCTAGTCTTCACCTTACAAGCCAATTTTATAGGCGTTGAGTTAAACCCAACCCAAATTCTAAGAAAGAAAAAAATCAGCCAGATTCATCTGACTAATGTGATGAAGCAGATAAGTTCATAAACAGATAATATTTCCAAGAAAGAAAAACATCAGACTATATCATACCGTTCCTGTTTCTTTTAGTTTCTCAAAAGATTTTTGTATGATATTCTCTTTCTTCGGAACTAAGGCAATCTGACCATCTCCAGCATCACCACTATAACGGGCACCATTGTCAATGATCATCAAATCCTGTTAAAACAATGTATACACTAATCTTGAAAGCCTTCACAAAAAAATAAACTAGAAGGATGGACACTAGATAAAAAGCAGTTAATAAAAATGACATGCAGATTTAATAAAAACCTAACAGTAGCTGAAGTGTTGTAAATAGCATTATTTTAGAATAAATATTTCATTATTTCCTTTTTTTTCTTTTGCTAGTATCACATTGATAGTGTAATTATCAGGACATAATTTTTTTCCTCTTTCTTTAATTGCAATTTATTATTAGAACCTCTATTTTGTAACTTAAAAGTTTTCAATATTCAAATAATTCAGACCTTTCAAGTAAGTTGACACTAAGATTGGGAAGCATAGTACGTTAATAATAATGCAATATCTAACTTAAGTAATATAAACTATTCCATAAGACTATAAGTTAAACTTGGGAGACATCAAATTCAAATGTTTCAGACATACCTCATTATTTTCTGATTGATAGGCACTTCTTTGAACCCTTTTCTCAAGTTCCATCAGCTCATCTCTTAGAAGCTCAAAGCGGTGGATTTCATTGGATTCTTGATCCACAACCCCTACATTTGGCGCAGGCTGTTCAATATAATTTTCCTAAAAACAAGATAGAAAGTCCATATTACTCAAAACTCAACCATGTATCTGCCAACCAATTAGAATAAATAATTAATTGTCTATACCGCTAAATCAAGTGAAGGACGGTTATGTTCCAGTTCATTTATGACTATTAGGTAATACATTTTGAAGAAAAATAAATTATATTGTAAGCTTCTATAGAACTCTGACTTTGCAAATTTGACTTTGAAGTTATTAACGGTCCACCACATTCTGAGATTAGAGTGAAGAACTTAAAAACCAGTTTCCTTATTGTGAGTGTGATATTCTAAGCAAAAGCAAACATAAAAAAAATAGCTTTATAACATATTGAGATAGGTTTTCTTGGGTCATTTTCAATTATGCATCAAATAATTTGTAGCAATTTATTAATCTATTTGCAACTAACCAGCAATTATCCTCACTAAAACTCACTACTCAGTGGCTATTGGTTATCTAATCAAAAAAAATTTGTCATTGCATCAAGTCACTTTTTCAAATGACTATTATTTCCTACCACAATTATACTGAGCCAAATATAATATTTGTTGTGCCGCCAATGAATCAAGCATATGTTTAGTTTCATGTCAATTTAGAAATGACTATGATTGGACAACAAGACCATTAATAAAGAACATATATGACATAACAGTAGTAAAACAGGATTCTAACAAACATATTAAGCTTATACATTATTTAAATAAAAGAGAACCAAATAGACAGTTGCATTTTCACAAATATGCAAAAACTAAGTCAACAGCGTCAAAGTATAAGGATGATAATGCATACATATGCGTCCGCATCTGCTTCCAGGTCAGGCTTTCTGGTGACAGGAGGTACAAAGATGCCCCAGAATCCACGAGAGTTTCCAATTTGTCTGAAAAAGACACATGTAACTTTTACATAAAGCTAAACAGAATATAACAAACAAAAAAAAGTAATATCTGGCTATCTGGCATTGAACTTTTTTTACGAGAAGCAAGTCAGTAGATATGAAAAAATGTAAGCCAAGCCTTCATACCTTTTGTTCCTGTCCACCCTTACGTTGTCATTCTTTCTGCTTTTCCCTTTTATTAACCTGTCCTCTTCACCGACCGGTGTGGTGGTTTGAGCACTACTAACTCCCTGGATGAGTGTACAAGAAGTACCATTGGCAAGCAAATAATGAGTTTTTCAAAAAGCAAACATGTGACTGGTATGCATATGAGTCAAGCAAGATTACGATGAATCACAGTGCAAAGAAAGGATAACAGTTAGTACAACCCACATTACTCCACTATTTTGAAAAAGAAAATCATGAGTGCAGCATAAATGCTCTTAGAATGTGTGATTGGGACTAACTCGACCCTACAAAACTGGCTTGTAGGGTGAGGATTGTCCTCACTTATAAGCACATGTTCAGGCCATATATTGTGCGTTGTGGGACTCTTTACACCCCCTCTCATGCCCAGGGTGAACGTCTGGAGCGTGAAACTAAATGGTGGGTGGTCTGATAGCGGAGTGGCCCAACGGATCTTAAACCGGGCTCTGATACCGTCTTAACACTATATATTTACAGATATCAACACTCCCCCTCAAGCTGGAGCATATAAGTCAAATGCACCAAGCTTGCCACATATATAATTAGTTGAGACTTCGCAGAGATTTTGTAAACACATATGTCAATTGATCATTAGAGTTGACAAAGCTTGTGACGATGTCGCCAGATTCGATCTACTCTCTCACAAAGTGACAGTCTATCTCAATATGTTTGGCCCTCTCATGGAAGACTGGATTTGAAGCAATGTGCAATGCAGCTCGATTTTTCCATACAAGTGTATTGGTCTTGCTTCTTCAATCTGAAGTTCTTTGAGCAAATGTTTTAACCAAATGAGTTCACAAGTTGCTATTGCCATGACCTTATACTCTGCCTCGGCGCTTGATCTTGCAACTACATTTTGTTTCTTACTTTTACAGGATATAAGGTTTCCTCCAACAAGTACACAATACCCAGAGTTGGATCGTTTATCAATTGGTGACCCTGCCCAATCAGCATCGGAATATCCAACTATCTGAGTATGTCCTTTATCTTCATACACTAAACCTTTTCCTGGAGCACATTTGATGTATCTCAGAATCCGGATAACAGCATCCATGTGTTCCTGACAAGGGGAACTTAAGAATTGGCTTACCACACTGACTGAAAAAGAAATATTTGGACGAGTGACTGTGAGATAATTCAACTTTCCAACCAATCTCCTATTCCTTCCCGAGTCTGATAGAGGTTCCCCCTGATTGGATAATAGTTTGACACTTGGATCAATAGGAGTATCAGCTGGTTTAGCGTTCAACAAACTTGTTTCTTCCAAAATATCCATAGCATATTTCCGCTGAGAAATCACCAAACCATCTTTAGATTGGACTACCTCAATACCCAAGAAATACCGGAGTTTACCAAGATCTTTTGTCTGAAATTGATTCGAGAGATATTTTTTCAACTGGAGTATTCCCTGCTCATTACTACCAGTTATGACAATATCATCTACATATACAATAAGATAAATACACTCTTAGGCTGAGTGACGATAAAAGACAGAATGATACCATCTTAGAATGTGCGATTGGGCCTAACTCGACCCTACAAAACCGGCTTGTAGGATGAGGATTGCCCTCACTTATAAACACATGTTCAGGTCATATATTGTCTGATGTGGGACTCTTAACACCCCCTCTCACGCCTATGGTGAACGTCTAGAGTGTAGAACTAAATGGTGGGTGGCCTAATACCGGAGTGGCCTAACGGATCTTAAACCAGGCTCTGATACCATCTTAACACTATATATTTACAAATACCAACAAATACCATGGAAAAAAAAAGAGCAACCCTATCCAAGCATACTACTAAACATGGATCCACTATTTTTAAGCAAAGGGAATGAAAGGCACCTATCTAATCCACATATTCCTCTCCTAATTACAGTATATTAATATTATTTGTATGTTTGTTTTTGTCCATAACTTGTTGTATTTGAAAAACTAAAGTAGCCATTAGGTTAATAAGTATGTATTCCATTATAGGTTGCTTTTGGTAACAATGTGATAGAAATCAAATGATATATAAAAGAAAATAGGGAAAATCCCTTTGAATTACAAAATGGTACTGCAGAACTTTGAGGGTCTGCACCTCCCAATGCCAAAATGATCCATTTTCCTATCCAATTCCAAGATGTTCAACTCCCTAATGTCTTCCCCTATTTATTCTAAACCTGAACACTCTTAATTAATACTACCTTTGTTCCTTTTTATAAGAGACAAGTCACTTTTTAGGTTCATTAAATAGTCAATGTATTTGGTTTGTTTATAGACTAGATACATTGATTATTCAATGAACCTAAAAAGTGAGTTGTCTCTTATAAAAAGGAACGGAGGTAGTAATATAATAATTTTAATAATTACCCACTAACTCTACTAATAATTTAATATCAATTACAAAACTGAAGAGTCTAACAATACTCCTCCCTAAAGATTCACCTTGTCCTCAAGGTGAAAGAAATACACGGGAGGAAAAATGTATCATCCCGGATCCCATAATTTGAAAAATAAAGGTTGAGTTTGTACATGAAGTAGGAAATTTTCTTGCTAATGCCAGTACCTTCCTCGTGACCAGTTGTTGTGGCCATAGTGGCACCGGTAGTGGAAATTTCTTGTTCCTAGACTTCATCTTAGGAATAGTAGCAAACACCGACAATAGTGAGTCTTTTGCCTGTGATGAAATAGCCGACTCTCCCTCACTTCTCTGGACCTTTGCTTCACTGGCGGCCATCAATGAATCTGTATTTTTCACTTCATCTCCCTCGCAATCAGATTTGATATCTACTTTACAAACTTCTTTTTCATTGTATTGTTGGATTTGTGAGTCTTCAACTTTACCACCAATTTTTCTCCAGTTGGAGTTGTTATTGGTTCTTGAATTTCTTCGGTGGCTTGGATTTCCTGTGTTTCGTTTTCAGACTCCAGTAGACAATTTCAAACTTCTTGTTGGAATTTTTTGAGAATGGCCTTTACAAAATTCCACCAACAAGTATTTGGATGACTCTCCTTCCAAGAAATCCACCAATCAAGAGCATCTCCTCTCAATACAAATGCAACAGCCCACGCAAGCTTCATCTCTTCACTCATTCTTCTTGACCCAAAATATTGCTCAGCCTGGATCAGCCACCAATAGGCCTCCCTTCCATCAAATCTTGGAATCAAATCTGCAGCCATATTCATACCAAAATTTCCAGCACACCGGCAAAATCTTTTTGGATCAGAATTGCTCTAATACCAGTTGATAGAAACCAACTGATATATAAAAGAAAATAGGGAAAGTCCCTTTGAATTACAAAACAGTACCGCAGAACTTCGAGAGTCTGCATCTCCCAGTGCCAAAATGGCCCATTTTCCTATCCAATTCCAAGATGTTCAACTCCCTAATGTCTTCCCCTATTTATTCTAAACCTAAACACTCTTAATTAATAATATAATAATTTTAATAATTACCCACTAACTCCACTAATAATTTAATATCAGTTACAAAACTGAAGAGTCTAACAACGGTTACAATGTTCATTAAGAAATAAAGTAACTTTTTATCGAAAGAGACACGTGTTTTAGACCTTCCAAACATATATTCGGCATTGTATTGGTTTTCTAATTTTTAGTACCAAAATGGTACCTCAAAGTCAATGAAGGCCATCAAAGTGGTTCATCTACCAAAATAATCTTTCAAGGTACAAAAATTATAACATAAATTGTCATTTCGAAGCCAATTGATTCCTCGTATAAAAAAGACAAATGTAATGTCAATTATTTCTTTACAACAGCCCATCACTGATTAGTTTCTGGACCTATCATATTGATCAGTCAATCTACTTTCATCAACAGCAAATACAAAAAAAAAAACTAAAACACAATTACTCGGAGGTAAAAACCCAAAAAGAAGATTTCTCACTCTCAAGAAGAAAAAAATAGAAGACATTGACATACAAAAGAGACGTTAGAGAGTTGATGTCCTTTTCAAGGTAAAAAAAGCTTTGATGCCCTATTCATGGAATGGGTAAAGGAAGCTGTGCAGGACGTTGTGTACCTCTTGCAGAGAATCGGCTTTTGCTCTGAAAGATGCCTCCAGGAATTCAGCTTCTTTCTTAAGTTTCCGTATTTTTTCCAAATCAGAACAGGCTGCTTTCAAATGCTCTTTTCCAGAACTAGAGCTTGACACATGCAATTCTTGAAGCAACTTTTCAAGTTTTATCACAGCTTCTTCAACACTTTTCAATGCCTGAAATTAAACATAAACAAGAATATGATGCATCAAAACAAAAGGTTTGGGATCCATCTAGAGTATGAAGAATATTCTTATGTTTAGGTATAAAGATATTAGATTAGGAATTTATACAACACTGAAATGGAGAGGACAAAAGCTGCAATACAATTTATTGTTAGGTTGTTAATTATTATGAGTGTATGACTTGGAGTGCAAAAAGACCTAGTTCTTTCTTTTCTTCAAACAGTTTTATTTAAATTACCCTAATTTCTCTTATTTCCACAACTGTGTTGTTTCCTTTTCAAAATCCACTATGAGGGCACATTGTTAATCAAACTGGTATATGAGAACTAACTGGACATTGTTCTTACTATTTGTAATCAACTGTCCACTTTAAGGTAGTCAAACTTTTCATGGCTACCTTTCAAGGTTCTACTTCCAGAACAAATAGGGATACCAATATCCCTAAATTTAAGATGCTTACATAAAAGAAACAATTGGGTTTTCCAACCAAATGAAAAGATGTAGTTGGCTAATATATTCATTCTGAAAAGCAAGTGGGGTGGGGTGGGGGGTCATAACATTCACTAAAAGAGAAGTAAAGTAAGAAAGGATGGTTCAATACATATGCAATCAAACTTATTCATAGTATGTTGTTTTTCACTAAAAACGGCATGAAAGTTGAGATTTCTAAGCCAGATAAGAGTAGGTATAGTCTTTTTTTAATGAAAACAGTGCCTGGTACAACACTTATAATACCATAGGCAAGTTTTGTCAGTAAATTAATACTCTGACTACGTAATGATGTGTCTGTCCATTACTTTGGTAGCATTCCAAGTAACTACCGACTTAAACCATAAGATTTCCCAATCAAATAATATATTTGTTATCTTATTTAAGACTATGCTTGCCACTCGAATAGTGAAGGTGGGAAATAAATCTGCATTGGATAGTATAAGATATTCTGCCCACTGCCCAGCCCTGTTCAACGTTTAGTGCACACATTGGATAATATGAGCTTATCCAAAGGGTAGATTTTATGTCATATTTCTTATAAAACTATCTAGTCTATTGAGGTGAATCAGCAGGATAGGATAAAGACAAAGCATCCCATTTTTCTCCCACCACCTTACTGTCACCAAATCCTACCACCACGAGGCCATTTCTACCTCCATCATTTTCACCAGTAGAACATTGCTACTGTTGAATAATGAGAGAACAAGAGAAAGGTTGGATTGAATCCGTGTGTTTGAATTACACATCGGAGCTCATTATATATAATAGGAGGCATAAATGCCATAGTAATTACATAATATTCTATAATAATTACATAATATTCTATTTCCTATTTACATGATATCCTAATTACTTACAGAATATTCTAATTACATTATATGGAATATTCCGATATCTAACACTCCTCAAACTGGAGCATATATGTCATATGCACCAAGCTTGTTACAAATATAATTAATCGAGGAGCACTCAAAGGCTTAGTGAAAACATCAGCTAACTGATCATTTGAATTGACAAAACTAGTGCTGACATCTCTAGATAAAATCTTCTCTCTGATGAAATGACAATCAATCTCAATGTGTTTGGTTCTCTCATGGAACACTGGATTTGATGCAATATGCAGAGCTTCCTGATTGTCACAAGTAAGTGTCATCTGTGAAACATCTCTGAATCTCAGGTCGTGAAGCAATTGTTTAAGCCATATAAGCTCACAGGTTGTTATTGTCATGGCTCGATATTCTACTTCCGCACTTGACCTTGCCACTACACTTTGTTTCTTACTCTTCCAGGAAATTAAGTTACCACCCAAGAAAACACAATAACCTGAGGTGGATCTCCTATCAGAAGGAGAACCTGCCCAATCTGCATCTGAGTATCCTACAACTCGAGTGTGTCCCTTGTCTTCATAGAGTAAGTCTTTTCCTGGAGCTCCTTTAATATATTTCAAGATGTGAATCACAGCTTCCCAATGCCCTTCACAAGGAGAGTTAAGAAATTGACTTACCACACTAACAGGAAATGAAATATCTGGGCGAGTAATAGTGAGGTAATTCAGTTTCCAACTAATATTCTATATTTTCCAGGATCAGAGAGTGGCTCCCCCTGAGCTGGCATAAGTTTAGCATTGGGATCCATCGGAGTGTCAACTGGCTTGGAATTTAACAATCATGTCTCCTCCAAAATATCCATAGCATACTTCCTTTGTGAAATCACAATCCCCCGTTTGGATTGGGCAATCTCAATGCCCAAGAAATAACGAAGTCTGCCGAGGTCTTTTGTTTGGAAATGATGACAAAGGTGTTGTTTTACCTGTGTGATTCCATGATGATCATTACCTGTAATGACAATGTCGTCCACATACACAATTAAGTAAATACACCCAACAACTGAGTGACGATAAAACACTGAATGATCAGCTTCACATCGCGTCATACCAAACTCTTGAATAACAGTGCTAAATCTCTCAAACCAAGCCCTAGGAGATTGCTTAAGTCCATACAAAGACTTATGAAGACGACAAACTAGTCCAGAAGACTCCTCCTGAGCAACAAACCCAGGAGGTTGGTCCATATAAACTTCCTCACACAAATCACCATGCAGGAATGCGTTCTTGATGTCAACCTGGTAAAGGGGCCAGTGGCGAATAGCTGCCATAGAGAGAAATAATCGAACCGAGGCCATTTTAGCCACGGGAGAGAAGGTGTCACCATAATCTAGGCCAAACAGTTGTGTATAACCTTTGGCCCCTAAACGTGCCTTGAGACGATCAATTTGTCCATCGGGCCCAACTTTGACTGTGAAAACCCACCTGCAACCTACAACAGATTTCCCAAGAGGAAGAGGAACAAAGTCCCACGTGCCACTGTTCTAAAGAGCGCACATCTCATCAAGCATAGCTTGTTTCCAGCCAGGTTGAGATAAAGCATCACCTACAGTCTTGGGAATAGACACAGAAGACAAAGATGAAATACAAGCATAATGCAAAGAAGACAAGCGATGATAAGACAAATTAACATAATGAGGAGATGGATTACGAGTGGAACGTATACCTTTGCGAAGTGCAATTGGGAGATCAGTCTCAGGGGGAAGGACCGGAGGGGACGAAGGAGTTGGATCCGGAGGATTAGTTGATGGTAGTGGAGGTGGCCGTGGTCGACGCTGATAAACCTGCAAAGGAGCTAATGGGGGTGGATTGGCTGGCAAAGGAGACAGAACTACGTTTGGTGGGGCAGTAATGGGAGATGAAAAAAACATGAGTGTTAGGGACTCAGACCCTGTAGACGTCCCAAAGTAAGGGACTGACTCAAATAATGTGACATCAGCAGAGACGAAATATCGACGAAAAGACGAGGAGTAACATTTATATCCCTTTTGGGATCTTGTATAGCCTAAGAACACACATTTATGAGAACGAGCTGAGAGTTTGTCTAGCCTAGGACTAACATTATGGACAAAACATGTAGGCCCAAAGACTCTAGGCTGTAATGGGTGAAGAGACTGGTGAGGAAATAGAATAGAGTGAGGGATCCGATTGTTGAGGACAGATGATGGCATCCTATTTATGAGATAACAAGCTATAAGGACAACATCACCCCAAAAATGTTGAGGAACATTATTGTGAAGTAAGAGTGTCCTAGTGGTTTCAACTAGGTGTCTATTTTTACGTTCAACGACTCCATTTTGTTGTGGTGTGTGAGCACAAGACGTTTGATGAAGCATACCGTTAGTAGCCATGAAAGTTTGAAATTGAGTAGATAAATATTCTCGAGCATTGTCACTGTGCAAAGTACTAATGGATATACCAAATTGATTTTTGATTTTATTATAAAATGTTTGAAAAATAGAAAATAACTCTGATTGATTTTCCATTAAAAATAACCAGGTACATCGAGAATAATCATCAATGAAGGTAACAAAATACTTAGACCCTAAAGTGGAAACAATGCGACTAAGACCCCAAACATCCGAATGAACTAGAGCAAACGGAGACTTAGAATGACGATTGACACGACTCGGAAAAGAACTACGAACATGTTTTCCTAATTGACAAGACTCACAAGACAACGTAGATAACTTGGAAAGGTTGGGCACCAACTTTTGTAACTTTGCAAGACTTGGATGTCCTAACTGAGCATGAACCAGGAGGGGAGAATCCACCACGGAACCAACATGTGCAGATGGTTGAAGAAGATAAAGACCATTAGAGTCACATCCGGTGCCAATCATCCGTCTCGAACTCCGGTCCTGCAAGAAAAAAGAATCTTTGGTGAATGAGATAGTACAATCAAGAGATTGAGTCAAACGACTTAGAGACAATAAGTTAAACGGAGATCCGGGTACATAAAGAACATTAGTAATGGAGAGCGAGGAAAAAAGGTGGATAGTACCAGTACCCTGAGATTGAGTTTGGGAGCCATTTGCTAATGTGACAAAGGGTAATAAATCAGAAGTAGAGAATGAAGAAAAAAGAGGTTTATTACCAGTAATGTGATCAGTGGCGCCTGAATCAAGGATCCATGGGCCAAGAGATGTGGAGTGAGAAAGACCAGCAAAAGAATTATCCGTCTGCGCAACAGAAGCAGTGGAGCTAGCGGCCTGACGCTCCTCATACCACTTGATAAAGTCGTTGAAGATAGCAAGTGAAGTGGCAGAATCAGTCGGAGTAGCAGCCTGTGGAGGTGGAGCGATCTGGGCAACGTGGGCAGTCCGAGGAGAGGGACGTCCATGTAAAGCATAACACCGATCAATAGTGTGGTCAAGCTTATGACAATGACCACACTTAGGACGAGGCTTTCCTGTCTTCTGAAAGTGGCCACGATCACCACCCGGAGCACGATTACCTCCTTGAGAAATCAAAGCAGATGAATCAACTAGTGTGGGTGGGACTCCGTCGTCAGATGATGGTTTTGCTCGGACACGCAGCAAAGTAGACCATGCAGTATCCAGAGTGGGGATTGTAAGAGACATCAATATCTTATCGCGAATAGACGAATAATCTGGAGGTAGGCCATACAGAGCTAGAAGCATGAAGAAGGATCGACGTTGTTCAAGTTCCTTAGCAGTGGTAGCGGCTGGGGGCAATAATTCATTGAAATCATGAAGAAGACCTTGAACACGGCCCAAGTATTCAGCCATAGAACCATCCAGGTGACGAGGGGAAATAATATTCTGCAAATTTTGACACACTCCATATAAGCGTTGTGTATCATTAGTATAAAGGATCTTAGCCTGTGCCCAAACAAATTCGCAAGTCTCATGAGAACGAAAGATCTGTTTCAAGGATGGACTAATGGTCGACTTAATGAGACTGCAGAGTTGAGCATCAATTTTCTTCCAACGAGCACTATCAGTGGCAACCACCGAGTCAGCCTTCGTAGTAAGGTGATCTTCATAGGCCTGTCCCCGGAGCCATAACTTGATGTCGGAAGCCCAAGAATCATAGTTAGTACCGTCCAATTTGTCAACGGCAAGAGGAGTAGTGATATAACTTGTGAAAATAGGGGCCTCAGCCCTTGGAGGGGGAACGACGGCCATGGATTTCAAAAACGGTGAGAGAAGTGAGCAAAAAAAAATGGAAGATCTGAGAAGGAATATCGGAAACCGGAGATGAAGCACGGTTACCTGGAAAAAAAATTGGCGCCGATAGATAGTGGATCTACCGGGAAAGCACGGATTAGGGTTGCCTCTTGTTAGGCTCTAGATACCATGTTGAATAATGAGAGAACAAGAGGAAGGTTGGATTGAATCCGTGTGTTTGAATTACACATCGGAGCTCATTATATATAATAGGAGGCATAAATGTCATAGTAATTACATAATATTCTATAATAATTACATGATATTCTATTTCCTATTTACATGATATCCTAATTACTTACAGAATATTCTATTTACATTATATGAAATATTCCGATATCTAACAGCTACTACCACCACCATGCCACTACACATATCTGCTGCAACTGACCTAATTAAACCATCACTACCATTTCCTTTTCCACCAAACACTATTGATCCCAACTATATCACCACTACTATCTCAACCTTTTCCACCATTCCTACAGCTTTTGCTTTGGGTATTGATTTCAGAAAGAGGGGAAAATGTCTGAAACAAATATCCGTTTCAACTATCAACCATTTATACAATTGTTCACAAAACAATGGATGGTACAAGAGTTTATCAATTTTTACCTTATGCACCTTTATACTATTTTATTCGGTACATTGGATGGGATATGATAATGATTTTATAAATTCAGGATATTTGGTACAGAACAATGGATAGTATAAGAGTTTATTTTGATCATATTTTTTATCTTATTCACCTGTAGGCTATTTCATTTGGTACATTGGAGGAAATAGGGTAAGGCTAAATTGGATAAGCTAGTTTCATATCACATCCAGCATTATCCCACCTTGTAAGCAAGATCAAGTTATTAAACAAATACAGCAAATATAGGATTAAAAAAATTATCATCTTCATAAATTTATACAATCTAGTATATACACTGAACATATAAAAGGCTATAAAGGTAAGCCCTATCATGTCTAATTACATCCATGGTTCCGGATGGAGTTGTACTATCATTTAGTGCACCCCGGAATAATAAAATTAAGTTTATAATATCTAATTTAAAAAACTTGAAGAAGCACCTGTATTAAATTCAGATTTTAAAAAGTGGGAACCATACCTCATCAAAAGAACCTGACCCTTTTATTGTTGACTCAATTGTGGATCTTTCTCTGTCAACTATATTTTTGGTATCACTCTCCGATGTCTTATCCCTGCATTAAATTTATGAAGATAATATGTGGTACAACTTTTGGAATAAGAAACTATTGAAGTAGAAAATCAGGTTCACGACCTCTGGATTCTAGTAAAACTATTGATACAAAATTTGTATAAATAAATTGTTTCAAGAAAATGTCACCACCAGACAATTTGCTTGGAAACATTTTATCTGTTACTTGTATGAGGGTTTAGGTGCAAAACTAACTCTCAGGTAGAAGAATCATATGTTTTTGTAAAATGGTTCAACTATTAAACACATTTCCATTATATAGGGCCTCTGCTCCCTTTTCTTTCTTTTTTAATGAAAGGACATTTGCCAAACAAATCTTATTGACAGGTCAATGATATATAAAAGCCAGGGCCATATATTAGAGAGAAAATAGTTAACCCTGTTTTGATCAACCTTTAAATTCATTTCCTGAAATGATTGTATTGGACTTTGACAAGATGCATTTGAAACCTACTACAGAATCTGTGCATAGATACAGAATATCATAATGCTTTGAGCACTTGTGTTATTCTAGCCTCTAGATTCAACTCTTGGACTTCCATTTTGTCTACTACATGGAATTACTCCTTTCTAACATCTGGATTTCCGTTTGACAGCCATAAACGGATATTTTGGAGAGAAATGATCAAAATGGCAAGAAAAATTCAGTATTTACTGCAAAAACTGCTATTGGTGGCACTGCATTCGTTACTTAAAACGGCAACACATGGGGTTTCACGTAGCGGCTAGGGCCAGCCGCTATGGAAGCTATTGACTACACAAAAATGACTTTTACATGACTACGGTGTAGCAATAGCAACTAAACTTGATGTTGCTGAAACAAGAAATTTATGATGAATATTTTATCCCAAAAATATAAAGATTTGATGCATGAATCACGGCATCAATGAATATGCACATGCACCTAATGGAATGCCAAAAAAATAAAACACCGAAGATGCAGCTTTGCCACATACTTTATCATTCCAAGTTCCTCCATGCACTCCATCAACTTGTTGTGCCTAACATAAAATAAAATAAGATACATATGAGAATTTATTAAGTTTGAAGCTTGTATTTCATTAAACAATAAATAAACATTTATCCGGTTACCCTCTAGACAGAAACTCAGCTGCTTTTACATTTGAGGGGCTCTCCAGCCATGTGCTGTATTTAATAAAGCTCTGCATCCAATGAGAGCAAACATCAAATGCTTGCGTCACTGCTTCGGGATTTGGGGGACCTTCTGGTTTATTATGCCCATGCAACTGTTTAGTGATGCTGGTGATTCCCGGATAAAAAGGAAGCCAATCCAGTTCTTCACACACTACCTATGCAGTTAAAGGACTTCACCAGTTAAACTAACTTAATAATCAAGCATCGATGTTAAATGCAAGGACCATAAACACTAACCTCAACATACATTTGATATGAACTAATGGATGAGAGCGGAGGGTAGTATAAAACACTGCCCCCAATAAGATACCTGTAATAAATAGTCATATAAATAAATAAATGAACAAAATGTCATATAAATAAATAAATGAACAAAATGTGTACAAACCAGAGTTGAAGAGAAAGTGGCTGAAGTTGCTGGAACTAATTAATGATTGTATTACTATTATACCCTTAATTTAATTCAAAAATATTTAATGATTGTATTACTATTATACCCTTAATTTAATTCAAAAACATTAAATGTTGGTAGTTGATTCATATAATATAATGAAGGATATTATAGTAAAATAAAAAATAATAATTACTTTTAACTAACTTGAAAGTAGTTATTTTTGCTTTTAATTGTGACTGGAGGGAGTATTATAAATGTAAAGTTAGTAACCTAATTATACCTATTTATATGAATCATCTAGTCAAATACGAGAAGTACAACTAATACATGACCAACTGAATAATATTCATAACAAGACTACTAAAACAATAAGAAACCTAGTACTCTAACAATAGTAATAATACGTGACAGAAGTAGTACCTGACAAAATCTTCAATTGGATCATCGAGAGTATCAAAACCATTTGCCAAAAGAAATGTTCGTGTACTTCTGCCTAATGCAATAAAGAATCCAAATATAGCCAAATCCTTCTCCAAAACCTGCACTAGGCTAACTTTCTTTCAATTGAAGCCTTTTGTTCAAAAAATAAATACAAATGAATGGAAAAAGATTGAGCTCTATTATACCCTATTCAACTCAACTCATCTCTTTATCCTTTTTATTTTATTTACATAAAGTGCTTTCTCTTGAAACTTTCTAATAGAAAGTAAACTTAGCTCAATGTTTAATCATACTCCTCCATGCTGGAAAAATAAAATAAGAAATTATTTTTATCCATAGTGGATTACTTTTGTTTTTCAAAGTCAGTCCACCAGAAAACAAATTTCATGATCAAGTAATATGCTTCAGATGTCAATAAATTATACAGTCACGGGTAGAGGAATATAACCTGTTAATGAATAATAATTTGTAAAATGATACAAATCAAGCAAAAGATTAGGTCTCACTTTCGTAATTTAAGTGTAAGTTTAGTCATCTCAATTGAATATGTATTCCTAGACATTAAACCCAACATCACCTTTCTAGTAGTGTCAAAACCATGATGTCTTCAAAACTAAACATAACTAACCTCAATGCTTTCAGATGTTGTCAGTCTTGACCATATTTTCTCCTTATCAATGGCTTGCTGCAGCTGCTTCTGAACCAGATTTACCCAGAAAACAACCTCTTCAGAACCCCACTCATCTTTTGCTCTAAAAGCTGCAGCTCGAGGACCGAAATGTACAAGAAATTCTCTGTGTAGACCAACATCCGTTATAGAATTATAAGCTTGACTTATAGGAGTTAAACCAACCAGCATGTCCATCAAACTACCAGTTATCTCTGTGCTCATGGAAAAGAACTGTGAGCAAGAAACTTTAGCCGTGCCGAGTTTAGCAATTGCCGCAATGCATGTAAGTGCAAGAAGGAGAAGTAATACGTCACTTGCACTGCTTAAACCCTTAGTTTTTCCAGACCTGGGAATCCGGTCAAAAACATCATTTATGCATTGTCTATAAATATAACATGTAGGAGCAAGAACAGAGCCATAAAAGTTAACATCTCAATATGTAGAAATGTTAAAAGAGAACATACAAAGCAATGGCAGAAGTAAAGCGTCCGTCCCCTTCAAACTTATTAACAAAGGATGTCACTACAACTGGAACTTGCTCAGACCAAAACCATTCATATACTTCAGGCTGTTTGGCTGATAAGTTCTCTCTAATTAAGCTCTCCAAGGGAGCAGATAACCTTAGCAAACTGGACCGACACAACAATTAAAATAAGTATTAGGCCCAAAGCAACAAGAGAGAGCACTATCAAATATTAAAACTAAACCTGTAAAGAAGGAACGAAAAGAAGAAAAACATGAGACAGTGCAGTACGAGTATATGTAATATTGGAAGGCAGTCAAAACAGGTTATAACTTATAAGTATACAAGCACTGTGTGAAGGTAACACTTGAAGTAACATTTACAGTTTGCCTGCTACAAAACTTCAATATTAAAAGTACAGCACATGTTACTAACTTAAACTTAGAATTACACCACTGGATGATTTACATAATATTCAATAAAATACAGGCTTTTTAGTGAAAAAGAATATTCATTTTAAATTTCAAATTTTGACATTAATATGTACCATAGCTATAAAAAAATACATTTCAATGGTTAAAAAATCAAATGACTGAAGTAATCATCTAATGAATAATTTTTGGTGCATGGTCTATTACTCCCTCCGTTTCAAAATGACTGTCGTTTTAGCAAATAAATTTTGTTTTAAAATGACTGCCATTTTCACTTTTCAATGTAGTAACGATTACTATTTTTCCAATTGTACCCTTTACTTTTTACTCTCTACACTTCTTCCAATACATTAATAGAGTTAATTTTGTAAAAGTGTAATGTCTTATGACAACATCATTACATTCCTTATTTTATGTGCAAAAACCTTAAACGACAGTCATTTTGAAACGGAGGGAGTATAAAACTTCTTCACATAGGGTCAACCAAAGAACTTCTATTCCTTCTGATAAATAAGTGTAATGTAAAAGAAACATATAAAGTGAACCAAAATGCAAAGCAACACACTACCTCCTTTGAACAAATACATTGACATTTCTATCTCTGCTGTCACCTCGGGATGAAATTTCACTTGCAGCATACAACAAGGAGTACACGGCAGCCTGAGAAAATTTATACATGTTTCTCAATTCTTCATAAATTTTGCAAATTTGGAAACAGTGAGATAAGGTGAGACATGATCAACATCATAGTAACAATTCTTGTAGCAAAGGCAATAAATAAAGTAAACACTATCAATATTCATTTATGATGAAGAATCGGAAATATTTAAGTTGCTTCAATCGTTTCAAATAGTATTTATTTGAAAAACATTAGTAAACTCGTAAATCAAGTTAAAATTCTATGTAGCCAAATCAAGTCAACTCACACTGAGAATCATTTTTGTCAGACTCAGTCTGACTTGAACAGGCTCGCAATTCAGATGATGAGTCAGTGAGTCCAACTTAAGAGCTAAAAATGACTCAAAACATATGATTTAATTGTGTTTCATTTTTTGTTCAAGACTGGCCATTGCCATATTTACTCTCTGCACTTCATTTTTCCAGCTTTCAATCTCTTCATTTTGCCAATGGGCTCTCTCAAACTGCAATTGCAACCATAGTTCACCTGCAACAAACAGTGCCGCTCCTTACCGGAGAAGCTTGCCTGAGTCCTTCAGTGGCCTTCTGCATCTGCATTCGAACATCAAAAAGGTGCATTCACACTTGGTCTGCCACTTGCCTGCACTCGACAACCGAAAGACTCCCTCACCATGTGTTTCATGCATTTTCCCCTCATTCAAAACAAAACCCACTAAAAGAGTTACCAGTATCACACTTCTGTCATTGTCCACGGCTACATGGCACAACACACAACACCCAGTGTTCTTCTTCATTATTTTGTCATCTGCCATGGTGCTGTGCTTCTGCTTCCTCTGTTGGCTGCTCTGAGTTTCTACTTCCTCTGTTTCAGTCCTTCCTTTCACTCATAATGTTATCTGCTGATGCATAATGTCTGATACTGATATTGGTTTGCTCTTTGCTTTATTATGGACTTGGAATGTTGAATTACTATTCTACTAATGGTATTATATTATTTTTAGATCTCATTTAAAGGTTTTTTTAATATCACTTTTTTATTAGGTAAATTCTTACAAGTTTGTCGGTCAATTCTACGTACTGATTTTATGGAAGCTCCAAGAATTTACTTAGACTCCTGAGGTTGACAACCTTGGATATTATTAATCTTATTGGATCCAAGCGGTTTCAATATTGAAAGTACATTCTAGCAAGAAGAGACATTAATGGGTTGGGGTAGATTTTTGCAACCAGTTATACCATTCTACGTTGACTGTTAGGTGAGAACCTTTACATACGATTATACAAGGGAGTGACTCAAGTGAGGGTTAGGGGACATTGTATGAGAACTATACTTCAGTTGTAATAGGGAAGCCTTCCGTTGGCCAAGCAATAAACTCTGATTACTTTGATTCTCACGATTCAATTCATTTTTCTTTTCTCTTTTGATTCTTAACAACATTTTTTTTTCATCACCAGTATAGTCCGGTTCGGAGGTCAGTTCTGGCATCAAGTGGTTCTAGCCCCCTTCCGATCACAGTTGTGGAGGATCGATTCTTAACACTTTTATTACAAAGAAAAGTCATTTAGAAATTTAGCAAGGTAGCTGAAGCCAAATGACATTAGTCCTATATCTAAAATTATGCAATACACTAAATTACACGAAGCTGGAGATTTAGCTGCCTGCTACTGAATAGTAATGGGTCTTTGAAGAACCATAGCACAATTTCATTAGTACACATTTAAATGTAACTCTTTAAATTGGTTAAAGGAAAGAATAAGGTCAATTTGTTGGATAAAAAATATAAACCACTACTTCAAAATATTGATATACATTGCTGGGTGTATTTTTCAAAAACACCAACAAGGCATGCAAAATAAAACTTAGTTACACATATTCCTTTGACAGTTCACCTGCCGTGTATTTGTCACAATTAATCATGATAACGGCATGCCATAACAATGACTGTCTATCAAAGTTTCATATTCACAAATGCATATCATACTTTGAAGACGATATGAACCAAACAATCGTAACACTGTCTAATAATTAAAGTCCTGATGATACCTGACATGACAATGCCTTCACCCATGCAGTTTGGTCTACCCCAAGCCAAGCTGTTGAAAACCAGGATACACGTGAGTACGATTTATGCTCTTTAATTGCGAGCTCAAAAACTCTGGCTGCATCATTTAAAGCTTGTACAAGTCCATCATAAAAGTTTTCATCTTCAAGTGAACTATCCAGTTTGACCCTCATTTTTTCAAGGTTAGCATTGGTGTCAGCTTGTGGACTCCCATTGACAGTCATACCATCATCAGAGGTGGCAAACGGGAACAAGTGTAAACTCCTTCCAGCCTTAGAAAATGTTAAATAGTACTTTTTACAGCCCACCGAACCATGACCACTGTTCAACGATAGCAAATCATGTTGTATTAGACATCCCTTTCTTGTCCTGCCCCATTTACTAAATAATAGACAATGCAAGTCCGACACTTTCCTCCCTACACAATATGAACCATTTGAAAGCCGGCAATTTGAAGAACTGCAAAATGAATTGCAGTTAGAAACAGCCCACACACTTATACACCCAGACCTATATGCAAAAACTAAGCTGGGAGGAATGCAGTTGCCACAATAAAAAAACAAACTATATATCAAATACAACCATACTACTTCCTGCAGCACAGTAACCTATACAGTGTTGTCAATCACAGATTATAGAAAGTTGCAGGTTGTTCAAATTCTACTAAACTAAAGCACAATTTTGGTAGGTACGGAAAGTTCTATGAGAGAAAACGTAAGCAGAGGAGAGAGCGAGAGAGAGAGAGAGTAGGACAAAGTTTGTTAAGCCTGGCATATAGGGTGGACAGCTGGCAACAGTTGTATGGTAATAGAATCTAAGAATGAGTCAATAAATGATTGAGTCCTCAATCATTTTTAGGTACGCAGAATTTAGTGGATTTTATTCCCTGGGAGAGATAAGGCCTCTCAAAGTGCCTCCTTTATCCTTTCCATTTTCTACTTTCTGGACTTGCTTTTGTACTGACTGTTTGCTAGATCCCATATGAACTCTGGCCTTTTCATTCAATAAATCAGTACTTCCTTATCCTATTCCATCTCTTTCTATTGTACTGTCCTTAGAGACTAAATTGGTCTTATCAAATTATAACCACTGTTTTACAACACTTTGTACTAAATAAATCGCGTATCACATAACAGTAGTGACTTGTTTAAACCCCGATACTCTATGGTGCTGTTACAGCCACTATTTGACAGAGCACTGAATCAATATTAGTAAAGATTATATTATGACTTTTACAAGCTTCAGTTTATTTTCACAAAACTTTTACAATATAATTATTAGAGTGAGATATGAGAGAGAAGAGAGAAAAAGCTAAAAGAGAAAAGAGAGAAACAGATTCTGTTATTACTTAATTGGAAAGGAGCATTATGCTCTATTTATACAAGAGGAGATGAACATTCAAGAGTTGAATCATTCAAGCTCTACAATTAAGGAAGACTTTTCTTATTCTATTAAATTAAGGCTGGACTTAATTATTCTATAGTGCTGATTATTCATATTCTAAGATATAACTCTAATACTCCCCCACAAGCTCAAGGTGGCTGCAAAGGCTGACTTGAGGCAGACAGGTTGAGCTTGCTGCTGAGCTCCATAAATCTTGAACATGAGAGAGGCTTGGTGAGGATGTCAGCCTTCTGGTCAACACCAGGAATGTGGCAAACAGTGAGAGACTTATTAATCACCTTTTCTCTTACAAAAAAGAGGTCAATTTCCATATGCTTTGTTCTTGCATGAAGAACAGGGTTATGAGCCATAGCAACTGTGCTCTGGTTGTCACAATAGATGGTTGGAGTTGTCAAGGGAATTTTTAGTTCAGCTAGCAAAGTTTGAACCCATAAAACTTCAGCTGTGGTGTGAGCCAAGCTGCGATACTCTGCCTCAGCACTAGAACGAGCAACAACAGTTTGCTTTTTGGACCACCAAGAGATCAAATTAGGGCCTAAGTACACAGCTGACCCAGAGGTGGATCTTCTATCATCTGGGTCAGCAGCCCAGTCAGCATCACAATAGGCTTGCAGAGAGAACGGAACAGTGGAGGCTGGAGTGAACAATAAACCAGAGGTGATAGTTCCTTTTAGGTAGCGCAGAATACGCTTGACAGCTAGCCAATGGGACTCCAAGGGGTGTGCCATGAATTGACATACTTTGTTAACAGCATAGCAGATTTCTGGCCGTGTAATTGTTGCATACTGCAGGGCCCCTACAATGGACCGGTAGTGGGAGGCATCAGACAAGGCAGCAGACCCTGTTTTGATGAGTTTGGTGGAGGAAGCCATAGGAGTAGCAACTGGATTGGAATTCTCCATATCAGTTTTGATTAGCAAGTCCCTTAGGTACTTAGATTGAGTGAGAAGGAGATTTCCATTGGACAATTTCTTCACCTCAAGGCCCAGAAAATAATCCAAGTCACCAAGTTGTTTGAGAGCAAACACATGATTTAATTGTTGAGTAACTTGCTTGATGAGAGGAGGGGAGTTTCCTGTGATGATTATATCATCAACATAAACCAGCATATAAATGACAGCATTGTGATGCTTGTAGATGAAAAGTGAAGTATCACACTTGCTGTTTAGAAAGCCAAAGGATAAAAGAGTGGTTTTGAGTCTTTCAAACCATTGCCTCGGGGCTTGTTTTAGGCCATACAAGGCCTTGTGCAAGTGACAAACCAGAGATGAATTAGGGGCAGTAAATCCAGGGGGTTGCATCATATAGACCTCCTCTTCAAGAATGCCATTCAAAAAGGCATTGTTTATGTCCAACTGCTGCAAAGGCCAATTGTAAGTTAGAGCAAGAGTCAAAATAATTCTAATTGTGACCGGTTTAATAACAGGGGAGAAAGTTTCATTAAAGTCAAATCCATGGACTTGATGGAACCCCTTAGCAACAAGCCTAGCTTTGTACTTATTTACTGTCCCATCAGCATTTTCCTTTACACGAAAAACCCACTTGCAGCCTATTGCTTTCCTGTTAGCAGGCAGTGGTACCAAAGACCAAGTGTTGTTCCTTATCAAGGCACCATACTCCTCTTGCATAGCAGCAAACCACTTAGGATCTTGGAGAGCAGTTTTAACACTCTTAGGCTCAGAATTGACAAGAAAAATGGAAGGATTTAGACGAGGTAAGGGTACACCAGATTTAGTTCTAGTAGTCATAGGATGAGTATTGGTGGGGAGAGGCTGAAGGTTAGGATCCCTAGGAGCATAAATAGAGGAGGAGGATAGTGAAGTGGTAGTAGTAGGCTGATTGTTGGCATTTGAAGAGGGTGAAGGAGTAGGATTAGTGCTGGCTGTTTGTGTTATAGGGGTTGCTGACCCAGAGGCAGTAGGTGTGGGGCTGGAATTGGATTGGGAAGAAGAAGAGGAGTGTGAGGTAGTGGAAGCAGTAGGAACGGGAAAAACATGAGGGAGAGCTTGTGTGTTAAGGGTTACTTTAGATGAGGAGGAGGATGGAATGGTTGATGAGGGGAGAGAAACATTAGAGGAAAAAAGATCATTGTAAGGAAATTTGGACTCGTTGAAAAGAACATCTTTAGAGATGAATATTCTACCACTTGGAGAGAGACATTTGTAACCTTTGTGAGCTGTAGAGTACCCTAGAAAAAGGCACTCGTGGGATCTAAAGTCAAATTTTTGAGAGTTGTATGGGCGAAGGAGAGGAAAACAAGCACACCCAAAGACTTTAAGGAATTTATAGTCAGGATTTTGATTGAAAAGGACAGCATATGGTATATGTTGATTGAGAGACATGGTTGGTAACCTATTTATTAGGTAGACAGCGGTTAAAAAGGCATGGTCCCAAAATTTGAGAGGTAAAGAGGCATGACTCAAGAGGGTTAAACCAAGATCAACAACGTGTCTATGCTTCCTCTCCACTACACCATTTTGGTGATGAGTGTGAGGGCAAACTAGGCGATGAATAATGCCAAGATCAGAAAGAAACTTTGTAAATGGGCGAAATTCACCACCCCAATCAGTTTGGACAGATTTAATAGGAAATCCAAATTGTAATTCAGCCATGACTTTGAATTGTTTAAAGATAGTTAAGGCTTCAGATTTATTTTTGAGCAAATAGATCCAAGTAAATCTGGTGTATGCATCAACAAAGGTGATGTAGTAGGTAAAGTTTTGGGAGGATTTGACTGGGGCAGGACCCCATAGGTCACTGAAAATTAATTCAAGAGGAGAGTGATATTGAGTTTGTGACTGAGGGGAGTGCAGCCTATGTGCCTTTCCCATACAGCAGGCAGAACAAAAGATAGATTCAGCTTTATTAGAATAAGGAATATTACATTGAGCTAAAACAAGTCTCATAGTATTAGAATTTGGATGACCAAGGCGTAAATGCCAAGTATGTTGAGAATTATATGAGTTATTAGCTGATACATTTTGATTAGAAACTGAAACCCTATCACTAGTGCTGGAATCAGATCTTGAAACATGAGCATTAGAGTCTAAGGTGAGACATGAGACTTGACTTGTTGAAGGAGACTTAAGAAGCTGAAGATGGGAAAATTGGTACAGGCCATCACTTCCTACACGACCTTGGAGCAGAATTTCATTGGTAGCCTGAGATTTGACATAGCACATATCAGCATGAAACTCAAAGAAAACTCTATTATCAAGACAGAATTTGCTGACACTTATCAGGTTCTTTGTAATAGAAGGAACAAGCAGTAAATTATGAAGAGCTAATGGAGTGTTAGGTTTAGAATGAGAAGGAAAATAAGAAGAGCCTGAAGAGTGAATGTGCAAACCTTGACCGTTACCAATGAAGATCTGATCAGGACCTTCAAAAGGTGTGGTTTGCTGTATGTTTTGAGAGGCATTGGTAACATGATAAGAAGCTCCTGAGTCTGGGAACCAGGCACTGCTTGGAACTGAAGTTGTGTTAGCAATCATAGCATTGGGAGTGATATGTGACTGAGGAACAGGGAGAGGGGCAAGTCTTGGTTGATAGCTTGGGCGTGACCGAGTGTTAACCATGGGCTGAGCAAACTGAGGTCCACCAATTGGTTGATACGGATAGAAATTTTGTAGGTTCATTGTTTGAAAATCAGCAGGTATGTTAGGTTGAAATTGTTGATTGAACCTATGATAGCAGTTAGCAGCAAGATGACCATATTTGAAGCAAACTTGACATTGAATGTTGCTGAACCTACCTCTCCCACGGCCGCGTCCACCACCACGGCCAACTGCACGGCCTCCTCTTGAATAGGTTGGATTAAAGGTTGAATTCACAGCTTGTTCATTGTTCTTGTTATTCGAGTTATCAGTTTCAGGTTGAGAATTGGCTTGAGTGAGATTCACTGAGGCAGCCACCTCCATTTGTGAGTGTTTCTTATACTTGTTGTATCTCATCTCATGAGCAAGAAGAAGAGCTTCAACTTCTTCAAGTTCTACTGAATCAAACTTGCTTTCAATAACTGAAATAACAGAGGCAAAGTCTTGAGGAAGACCTTCAAGAATCACATCAATGTGTTGCTGATCTGGAACTGGATCTCCTACTGAAGCAAGCGCGTCAACAAGAGCTTTGATGCGAACCAGATAATCACCAACAGATTTGTCTTCAAGTGTTGTAGATCTGAGTTCCGCTCGTAGTTGTCTTGCTTTCGCACGTGTAAGCTTTTGAAAATGCGCAAGAATACGTTCCCAGAGCTCGTAGGAATGAACGCATCCAAGAACACGTGAAAGAATTGAAGGTGAAAGCGTGGATTGAAGCCACGTCATAAGCCACTGATCTTGCGTAATCCAGGTGCGATACGCAGGGTTCTCACGAGCAGCGGCACGATCTTCATCAGTCAGGTATTGATTCGGTATGTCACGAAGGTAAAGGTAGTTTTGAAGATTGTTCGCGTTAACGAAAGGATCTACTTGTTGGCGCCAAAGTAGGAAATTCTTCTCATCAAGTTTTTCTGTGATTTTGAGTTGGAAGGACATAGATGTTGGGGTGGCCGGAGCTGTAGTTACTGGAATCGCTGCCATGGATAGAACCGAAGCTCTATGATACCATATTAGAGTGAGATATGAGAGAGAAGAGAGAAAAAGCTAAAAGAGAAAAGAGAGAAACAGATTCTGTTATTACTTAATTGGAAAGGAGCATTATGCTCTATTTATACAAGAGGAGATGAACATTCAAGAGTTGAATCATTCAAGCTCTACAATTAAGGAAGACTTTTCTTATTCTATTAAATTAAGGCTGGACTTAATTATTCTATAGTGCTGATTATTCATATTCTAAGATATAACTCTAATAATAATTAGTTTCAAAATATAACTTTCTTTTAAACATATAAACCCGACAATACATCACATTCATATAGTTACTACCTGAAGTACTTGCAAGAAAACAATGCATCATAACTTTTTATTTAAAGCTTGGTATCGGGTCTTGCAACCGACTAACAAAGGACCACTTCGGGGCCCATTAAAAGTCAGGTATGGACTATCCCGACACATGAATTGTTAACACCTAGCCGAATTCGAACCTGAGACTTGAGAGGAGCACACTCTCAGTACCCAAGTCTTCACGAATAGGTCAACCCTGGGTTTAATGTATCGTAACTATCATAACTATTCTTCACAAATTCTTAAATAAACATACATAATCCCGCAGTAAACCACAAAAGTATTGCAGAAAATGAAAACAAGTAAAACAAAACGGAAACGTAAGAGTTCAAGGATTAGAGTTTCAGTCAGGAATTTCGTCAAACAATTCATGTGCAAGGTGCAAAACAAACTAAAACCTAGCATCCTGGTTATTACTGATTCAGCAAAGAGGGACCAACGGATTACCTTAACGATAGAAAATTGTTGGTGCTATGCGATTTAACTGCCATGAAAAGGTGGAAGAATTTGGAGAGAAAATTGAGCTTGCGTCAGTGGAGATGGAAATTGAAGTTGAAAATTTGGAAGGAGAAAGGAGTGAAATAATGGAAGTGGTTGCGTGGTGTAAAACCGAAACGGAAAGAGAGAAAGAGTTAAGGAAATGATGACGTAGCATGAGGTATGTGCTTTATCTTGCTTCTTTATCTGAATACGTGGAGAACTCACAAGTCAATCATAAAACGAATTAACATGCTACCCCCACTTATATTTGGCACCCTTCAACGGTACGAAAACACCGAATTATCCGTATTAAAATATTTTTTAGAAATTCAAAATTTTCATGATCAATCTATGATATCAGAAATTCAAATTTTAGTGAGATAGTAAAAAAAATTTGGTATATTTACGAAATATCAGGTATTTTATATCGGAATTTTCAAAAATTTCGGTATTTTTGTACTGGAAATTTTAAAATTTTTGGTGTAAACATTTTCTTGTTGTACCGGAAATTTCAAAATTCTCGGGACTTTACAGGATATCGGAAATTTAAAAATTTACTGTAATTCAATTTTGAAATTTGAAATTCGAAAGTTCAAATTGTAACATAAATTTGAAATATCGAAAATTTCAAATGCACTACCAAAAATTTACTCTTACTGAAAATTTGGTAGGGGTGTACTGAAAGTTTATTCTGTACCAGAAATTTTATCTGTTCTACCGGAAATTTCGTCCAGAAATTATTTGTATCTCATCAAGGATAAAACTGGAATAAATAAAATTGAGGGGTGGCATATTTAATTTAGAGGGTGACATGTTAGTTCCTCCAATCATACACAACACAACAACACCATTGGGCTTCCTTGTATTATTTTTCATATTATTCCTAGAAATTTCTCATTGCATCCGTATTATGTGACGCACCTTTGAAAATTCGAAAATATTTTTGGTTGAATTCGGATATACATCTTTGAATGCAATACTATTTTTGGTAAAATTTAGTTTGAAGATGCATGTCAGAATTCACTAAGAGTAAATTCACATATACATCTCTGAAGTCACCTTTTTATTTAGAGATTTTTTTTAACCACTCAATGATATTTTCAGAGACGTATATTCGAAAATATCCCGTGAGAAATTGAATATATGACCACTTTGCATGATCTTCTTCCTCACTCTTCTAACTCTCCAAACTCCTCCATAACCAAAAAACTCTTAAAAATCTCATTATCAAACAAGTTTTCGATTTCAAATCACATTTCTTACATTTTATCACATCAAAGGGAGCATAATAAATCGCAATTTAAGGTAATGTTCCTTTATTTCATCCCTCATTGCTTGCATTGATCTTGATTTTGAATTGAAAAAATATTCGTCTTGTCTGGATATACATATCCGAACTCACTTACATTATTTCAGATATATATCTGAATTAATCAGTTACTAGTTTTATGCATTTTCCTGTTTTGATTCTTATTAGATATGGTTCACCCGGATATGCTTCCCAAAGTTGTTGTACATAACGATGTAAAAAAGGATGAAGTGACAGATAATGTTAAACCAGTTGATGTTAAGCGTGATGTTAAACTGGAAAAATTGAAGGATGATGTTAAACCGATAGAGATAGACGTTGGTCATCGTTTCATAATTGAACAATTGTATACTGCTCACAAACATATGCTCAATGGGTCCGCATAGTATCTAAGAATTTGGGGTTCAACATTGTAATTGGAAGGTATGGCAATGGTTCAAATAGAAGACAAACATTTGTAACCATGAGATGCAAGAGAAGTGGAACGTATGTTCTCCCGACTTGGAAGTTGAAACGTGATTACACCAGAACGAGAAAGTGTAGTTGTCCGTTTAAACTGCGCGAATATTGTCGCGTCACTACAAAAAATACTCTCATTTGCGACGTGAAATTCACGTCACAACTCCTAATTTGCGACGTGAGTGATCATGTGGCTGGGGAACGGGTGGCAATTCATTTGTGACATGAAAATCACGTCGCAACATATTTTTATAGACATTCTGACTTTGTAGTGGCAGCAGGCGCAACAGAAGGAATGCAGAAAAAATAATTTATTTGCCACGTGATTTTCACGTCACAAATTAGTAACGTGAAAATCACGTCGTAAATTAGTAACCATTCACACTTTCTCTTTGTTCAGTTTTTTTTTTATAAAAAAAATAAAGTTGCGACGTGATTTTCACGTCACTAATTTGTGACGTGAAAATCACGTCGCTAATCTTTTTATTTTTATTTTTTAAAATCATATACTGAAATTTGATACTCACTACATATATAAACATAAACTTTCATTTTATTATTATTATTAATATTTTTTATATTTTGTTTTATAATATAAATATCATATATTTAATAAATATAAAATAAATTTGTATAATATATACATAATTTCGTTTTAAATAAAATTCTAAAATATATTTCTGTTTTATTTTTTATTTATAAAAATTATAATATTAATTACTAACAACTTTTACAAAATAAAAATCAAATTTAACCTAAATAATCAATCAATAATCCTGAAAAAATATCAAATTAAAAAAATTACAAAAATATCTCTCTTGAATCTCCTTCAATATTCTTGTTCTATCTTTTTCAAACCCTCTTCAATGTTCTTCAATCTTCTTCTTATCAATTTCTTGGAAAAAAAAACATAAATCAAAATCATATTACAAAATAAACATTAAACACAATTATAAATAAAAAATTGAAATAAAATTAGAGAAGATGATTGACTACCTTTAAAAATTAGAAGTGAAATAGAAATTAAAATTGGAGAAGATAAAGGTAGAAGGAAGAAGATGAAACATAAAAGGAAGAGAATGAAAGAAGAAACAGAAGTGGAGAAGATTTGTGAAACGGAAGAAAAAAAATATAAACAGTCAGCGACGTGATAATCACGTCGCAACGTCCCCAACGGTCATAAACTCTACACCCACTGCGTGCAGTCAACATCAAGGCAGACAGTTTTCCCTCCTAAAAAGTTACGACGTGAATATCACGTCACAACTTGAAATTTGAAATTTTCAAACTTCCCACCATGTGCAGGTTATAACTTTCTGAAATATATATTTTAATTAATTGGTTGCGACGTGGAATTCACGTCGCAACTTTTTTTATAAAAAATATTTTGACTCCTCTTTTGTTAACGTTACTTTTCATAATTTATTATTAAAATTATGTAGCGACGTGATTATCACGTCACAACCTGCCACGTGATAATCACGTCACAACTTCACTTTGTTGGGGAACATTTATCTTGTAGTGTGTGAATGAGATGTAGAAATTTAATGTGCTTTCTAGAATACATAACCATGACTTGCAAACAAATCTAGTTGGTCAACCCATTGTATGTTGTCTTAAATCGGAGGAGAAGAAAATTGTTTCGAACATGTCTTTAAGCAGAGTGGCACCGAAAAACATACTTGCATATTTGAAACAGAAACACCCAGAAAGTGTTTCGAATATCAAGCAGGTATATAATTAGCGTCATCAAAACAAGAAGGCGATAAGGGGTCCAAGATCTGAAATGCAACAAATTTTGAAACTTTTGGATGAAAACCACTATGTTTATAGATACACAATACATGATGATAAAGTCATTGTTCGTGACATTTTCTGGACTCAACCCGAAAATATCAAGTTTTTTAACACATTTCCTATTATCCTCATTATTGTTGCAACGTACAAGACCAACAAGTATAAATTTTTGCATCTTGAAATTGTTAGTGTCACTTCTACAGAGAATTCTTTTCAGTGGGATTTTCATTTTTGGAATTCAAAAAAGAGGTCAGCGTTACTTGGGCCTTGGAAGTGTGAAAGACTTTGTTGAAGGGCCACGAAAACATATTGACGATAATTGTCATTGATCGAGATACCACGCTAATGAATTTAGTTACAAAAGTGTTTCCTAGATCCTACGCATTACCTTGTCGATATCATATTACAAAAAATGTGAGGAGTCGATTTAAATCTGCGATAGGCACCAAACAAATCAAGGGTGAAGACGGTAAAATAGTCAAACTAAGTGTGGTGGTGGAAAAGATTATGGATGCATGGATTGGTATATTAAATTCCATCCATGTAAGAATTGTATGTTACCTTTGTAATGAAATTTAGGAGCATGTGTGTCTGATGTCTAGTTTTTTTTACATATGTTGAGAGTACTATTATGGACCAAGTGAAAGAAAATTGTTTGTGCATGAACTGATCATGTTAGACACCTCGGCAATACAACAATTAACAGAGTCAAATCAACACATTTGGCATTGAAGAAATGGTTGGGTGATCGTAAGGGTGATTTCTATAGAGATTGGGATAGGGTGAACCAAATGCTCCAAAAACCAACATTCATAAATACAAACCACTTTTGGTCTAATCATTAACGGTGCAAGAACATATATTCAAAGATAACATTCTTTATTCACAATTGGTTGGTTGTGTATCTCTGTCAGTATTAAATTTCATCTTTCATGAAGCGAAGTGGGCAGAACAAACAGGTACGGATAAGGAAAAGTGTGGATGCATAGTTAGGAAAACTTATGGTCTTCCATGTGATTGTGTCATTGCAAAAAAATAAAGATTAATTTCCTTATACGTATGGATGAAGTGAAAGTCACTGGAAAAGACTTCGGTTTGATGATGATGGTGTGATTAAGGATGGTAAAACATGTATAAGCATCCAGACCGGGTGGGAAAATATCCAAGATAGATTTGTAAAGGCAGATGACAACATGAAATTACACATCAAAGAGCACTTAAAGAAGATTGCATATCTGAAAACCACATATTTGAAACCTCATTCACAACCGTTAAAACCAAAGGTGCCCCTAAAAAGGTAAAACTGACCCAAGATGACAATACAACAAAGTGGTCTCCATCATACTTTAAACATGTTAATTCATATTTCTCAGATTCTCCAACTCAAAAATCTCAAAAAAGTGTTCAAAAGGCTGCTCGCATTAGCAAACCACCTCTACCAACTCC